GCTTTGAACCACAATCCTCAGATATCAGTCCCCTGAGTAGCTAGGATTACAGGTTGTAAGCCTTCAGAACCAGGCTTCCATTTCTTTTTTTTTTTTTTTTTGGGTCCGGTCGTGGGGCCTGAACTCTGGGCCTGGGCGCTGTCCCTCAGCTCTTCAGCTCAAGGCTAGCACTCTACCACTTGAGCCACAGTGCCACTTCCGGCTTTTTTCTTTTTGCTTATGTGGTGCTGAGGAATAGAACCCAGGGCCTCAGGCATGCAAGGCAAGCGCTCTACCACGGAGCCATCTTCCCAGCCCCACCGGGCCTCCATTTCTTAATACACTCATATGTCTGCTAAAGGAAATGGTGGCCCCAGAAAAGCTTAAAGAGTGCAAGGCGAAGCTTGGTATATATAACTGGAGAAAGGTTACTTATGTATTTTGGATATTTAAGCCAGCAGAAACATCTACAAATGAGCAGAAGACCAGCCTTTTCTTCCTTAATCAGTTGATCATCTTCAGGAAAAATAGTCCCCTATGGTTTCAGTTGACAGATCTATGCCTTTCAGCACTTTTAAATGTTAAAAGTCCAAATAAAACACACTGGCCCAATGAAGACAGATGATCCAAAAACAATTAATACTTGAAAACTTTATTTTCTCAAATGAGCACCAACACAGATTGGAAATATGACAGAAACAATGTACTTTTCTCTAATACTGAATCACTATGTACAAATAGAGGAAAGGGTGAAGACAATTTATCTGAAAACAATTACTTTCATTGTTGAAGCAAAAGTGACTTGAAAAAATGCCACCAAAGAAAATTGAAAAACAAAAGCCCAAACCCAACAAGTACAGTTTTGTAAACACAAGCATAAATAGACAGATTCTGTATCGTAGGATAGTCTTTGCAGGTTGGGAAAAGGAAGCCGACTCCTGCTTTTTTTTTTTTTTTTCCTTCTTCTTCTTTTAAAATACAAGACAGATGGGCAGAAATAACTGGGTAATGAAAGCCTAGCTTGTTTCTTTCTTGGCTTTATCTGATACTGCTAGATTTCATGAGTGTTTAAATTTTTTAAATTAATCATCTCTTTACCTATATAGGACTAGCATGTTTTCTCATTTGAGGCAGATCTCTTAAAATATGAAAGTCGATTGTATTCAAAAATTGATTTACTATAGTCTTCCTGAACCTGAGACAATCTAACGTCAAGGAAAAAAAATCAGTTCATCTATAAAGTATGTGTGTTATTAATGTTCTTTTAACCCAAATCAGCAAGCCAGTTAATGTTTCACACGATCTAGCTTCTATAGTGACTGGAGTCCTAGGATCTGCAATTAATACACTCACATCTCAATTAGAAGCACACGTTTAACTCTGCTTGATTTTTACCAACAGATTTCCCTTACAGTCTATAAAAGTTGAACACACAAAGAATGAAAAAGGGAACAAACTCGCAACAGCTCCATGCTCAAGAAAACAAAATCCTCATGCTTTGTGCTGTTGGTCCACTCAGAAACAAAAAAGCAGAGAGAAAGCTGGGCGCTGGTGGCTCACGCCTGTAATCCTAGCTACTCAGGAGGCTGAGATCTGAGGATCATGATTGGAAACTAGCCTGAGCAGGAAAGTCTGGAAAACTCTTCTCTTCAATTAACCACCAATAAGGCCAAGTGGAGCTGTGACTCAAGTGGTAGAGGACTAGACTTGAGCAAAAGAGCTCATGGATAGCGCCTAGGCCCTGAGTTTAAGCCCCACAACTGACCAAAAAAAAAAAAAAAAAGCAGAGAGGAAAAGCAAAACCTTGTGCACCAGGAGGTGTAAACTGTGGTTAATAGTGTCCCAATTAAAAAACAGGAGGCACAAATAAGTGTGTGCATGCATGTACACATGCTCACATACTTCCAATTTGTAAGAACTTCTTCCAAAAAGAGTAATTACTCTAAGTGGCTACTACTAAATTTACTTGGTTTTAGTTATTTTCTTAGTATACTCAATACCGGTGCAAGAAAATATTTTAGCTCAAAACCTGGTAATTTATTAGAGGTCTGTGCCATTGGGAAAAACGCAAAGAGGCATCGCTTTAAAGCTTCAAACCAGATTAAAGTGATAGAGATCTTGGGAAAAAAAAAAAGTATACTGGTGATTACTGTTTCCCTTAAAACATAGTTCAAGAAATGCAGAGGAAACCACAGTATTTAAAATGAAAATAAAAAGTGCTCCCAGCGGATCTGAGAAAACAGCACCAAATATATTATTTAAAAAAATTAAATATTATTTACAAAAGTATATTTCACAAGCAACTGTTTTTACATATCAACTTGAAAATCTTATTACAAAGGGGCCACCTGTTTTGTACATACTGATCACCAGTAAGATTTCTTTTCTCCTACCTCTGTGATTTTGCTATCACAGGAGCTGGGCAGAATGCAGGCAGGCCTAGCTGAGAACTTGTGGCATGAAGTTTGGCTGTATTCGATTCATGTCAATCAACCTATCAGCAGCCTGAGACTAATAACCTGGGGGCCTGGGTGCACTCCCGGATGGTCATGACCATGACCAGAGTGACACAGGGGAGATGGAACTTGAGAGTCGGCCAGCTGGACTTGAGTTCAAAACCAAGGTAGTTGCTGGCTGAGGTATAGAACTTCATGCCTTTCCCTTTCTCCCTTCTCTCCCTCTTCCTTATTCCCCCACAAGCTGCCCAAGTTTAACCAACAAAATCCAATTCCCTGAACCTATGAGGGGTGAATGGATGAAGTCTTTGGTTATGCTCTGAGTCAATAATTTGGTGAGGAAATTAAAGAATAAACTGAGATCATGAGTTGATGTGTCTCATTGCTCCAATACTGCTAAATGTTAGCTAGACAAGTGATGAATGGACTAAGGTTATAAGAAGCACTTTTGGTTTCAATGAACAAAAGGGAAGCCTAATGAGTTTGTTTTTCTTTTCCCCTTGTATTTATAGAAAAACCAATACTGTGTCCTCAGATCTCTCCCACCAAGTATAGTACCAGGCACCCATTAGACATTCAGTGGATAGTAATAACCAACACACAACACACACACACACACACACACACACACACACACACACACACACACACACACACACACACACACACACACACACACACACACACACACACACACACACACACACACACACACGGAGAACCAGGGTCTGACTGGAGCCTGCTCTGATCCATGCAAAGTCAAAGGCTCAATTCCCAAGGAAGAACAGTGGCACATTGGTCTCTTCTGCCCCTTTATAATTCTAGGGCTCTCTATACGCCATGTCACCACATCTCTAACGCCTTCCTAGGTTCACCCTTTGTTTTGTTTTTAAGAAAAGGACTCTTGAATAGCTGGACATTCCCTGAGCAAAGGGTCTAATCAAATCCATAAGTGAAGGCCATTTCCTTTGGGAAGACAGGGAAATCTATGATTACTGGCAAGCCAGTATAGGAATGTGAAAGTTGAAAGAGAAAAAAAAAAAAAGGCCTGGGGGTAAAACTAAAAACTTCTGAACCTCAGTTGGCCGGGCAATGAAGAACCACTGTCTCCAGGGCCACTAAAGCACAGCAAAGGGCCTGGACAAGAAGTCTTGGGGAACAAAATTCAATTTCTAGGAATCTTTCTGTGTTATAGAAGAGGCAGTCTCTGCTAAACTTGGAGCTATGCTGTTATCTCTCTCTGCCACAGTCAGGGCAAGCCCACTTGGGTCTCAAATCTCCTACTCTGCGATCTACACAAGATGATACCAAGAGGATTTCTACCCTGCAGCTCACTCACTCCCTGTGGGGATTTGTTTCTGCTGCAGGAAAGATGCTGAAAAGCATCCTGGGTGGGCTGCTTTAATCATGGCTAATCAACTTTACGGATTCTTAATTCTATGAATTAGATGCTTTGGGAGATTTTAAAGGTGGATTTTCCTGTAGGACCAAGCCTACTTTGGAAAATGAGAATTACTTCATGCACATATTTTCAGCTTAAGAAATGAAATTAACTCTTCAATGAGTTTCAGTCATGCACCTTGTATGGGCTGAATTGCTGTAGAACAGATTCACAGTGTTGGTTAAATGTAACAAATTCCTCTTTCTCTCATGAGCCTAAAGGGAATTTGTTCCCTATTTCTCTAACACCCTATAGCTTTGGGAAGGGTGAAGGTGAGTGAGGGAGGGGGAATATTAGAATCTATAGATCTCTCCTCATCACTAGACCACATTGACACATAGGACAAGAACTAGGAATCTACCAGATTGTCCCTAGGCTCAAAGTCTCCAGTCTTTGTTTTCTGGTCTACCAAGGTGGGACTGAAGAGAAAAACTACCCAAAACACCATGAACAAAGCCTTGCCTGTCCAAAGTGGAAAAGAAGGATTAACCTCACCTGTACTGGCTCAAACCTGAACTTACCCTATTCCTACCCAACCCCCTTTCGCTCCCAGATTACTCAGAGAGAATTGCTAATTGATTCTACTTTTAATTTTTTTTTCTGACTCAATATCTGAACTGTTTCTTCGGGAGTTCATAAGCTGCAGCCCCTCTTTGTTCCCTGCTTTCAATTCTTGATTTTGCTTGGTTGCTGGCCAAAGCCTTTTGGGACAGTTGTATGTGTTCTTTGCAGATGGTAGTCCCCTCTCCCTTCTGTCCAAGGGCTAAGGAGGTAAAGAAGGTGATTGCTCAGGGGCTGAGTGAGGCACTCCTCAAAACCAATCCAGACTCTATTCACCTCAGTCATTGCTACCAGAATATTCCCCACTTCAGCCTGGTCCTTGACCAGCGAGAACTAGGGTCACTTCTTAAGGGCTCATCTGCTATCCTGGCACATTTGGGGTCAGGAACAGAAGTTTCCCCGTCAGAGAGACTGCGGTCATGAGGTATTTTTTTTTTTCCTCTTTGTCCTTTTTAGACAAGTCAATTATTTCAAGCCTAAGTTATCAGGTCTCCAGAAGCAACCCAAGTTTGTTCCTACCTCTACCCTCCCACCCTGCCCACCCCAGGACCCTCTTCCTTACTCCACATGCCACTGCTCTTCTGACGAGAGGCCATCAGGCAGCTCTTGCATGGGCCATGGGGCCCTTTCTAAGGTGGGCTGCCGCCATGTGGTCTAAGATCTGTTCCTTTTGTGGTTTTTGTTTTCAGCCAACACTAGAACAGAGAGAGAAGCCAGGATCAACTCACAAACAGAGACAAAGCAAAGAGACAGAGAGACAGCGATTTAGAGGCCGGTCACCAGAAAGATGGCGTCAGGGTGGTTGGATGCCCCAGATGGCAAGGCCCCTAAATGGATGGAACCAAGTGTTCAGTCACTCTCTCACGCTTGGGTAGAATGTTCAGTTGGATGGCATTCACGTGGACACTGGGTTGGGTAGATGCTGTCCAATCAGTCCCAGCCATTGTCCTTGATCATGTGTGCTAGTTCAATGATGTATTTGCCTTCTTTATATTTCTGGCTGCTTTCAAAGGCGTGTTCCTATGAAACAGAGGAAGAGGAAGGCTGAATGAATGACCAAAGACAAATGGGTGATGTCTGTGTGTCACAAAAGCAGAAGTGTTACAAATGCCAGGCATCAGGACCATGGCAGCTTCATCCAGGCTTGCCCCAAATTCCCACTATCTCTCCTTTTCCCACCCTCACACTTTCTTCTTGTCCACAGTATTTCTCAACGACCAACATGCATCACAAATTTATAGTTCTACTTTTTATGATGTTGCTCTTGATTATGATAAAAACTTCATCGAAGGCAGAAGCTGTTCATGGCCTTCCCCCCAAGACTGCAAGCAAGGTACATAATGTAAGATGAATGAGCACACAGAGCTATCTTAGGAGATTTTCTGATGCTAACTGGAAATCTGCATATGGATATATCCATAAAGTCATTCCGGCTAGTTTCTAGGAACTCAGAAGAGCCTCATTACACATTTTTTTTTTGGAGGGTGCTGGTTCTGGGGCTTGAGCATTGGCCCTGAGCTTCTTTTGCTCATGGCTAGCACTCTATCACTTGAGCCACAGCTCCACTTCCAGCTTTTTCTATGAGATGAGTCTCACAGACTTTCTTGCCCTGACTGGCTCCGAGGCATGATCCTTAGATCTCAGCCTCCTGAGTAGCTAGGTGTGAGCTACTGGCACCTGGCACCTCATTTCACTTGAAGCTGTACTTGTGAGGCTTAGAGAAAAAAGACAACATAGAAACCAAGTATTATGAGGTCCAAAAGCTTCCATTTTTTACCTTGCTGTTTTCATGTCAGAAGAGTATATTTTCTTCTTTCACTATCTCTCCTCAGGGAGAAAGGACCTACGTAAACCTCAAGGTAGAAGACCTGGCATCCCTCAAGCCCCACCCAGCTGCCAGACCTTCAGAGAAAAAACTCAATAGGCAAATACTTACCTGGCAGGTTCTATACTTAAGGAGGGATCTTCCAATTAGATAAATAAACCCCACAGAAAGCAGCCCTAGCCAGGCGCCAGTGGCTCATGCTACTCAGCAGGCTGAGATCTGAGAATCATGGTTCAAAGGCAGCCTGGGCAGGAACATCTATGAGACTCTCATCTCCAATTAACCACCAGAAAACCAGAAGTGGCGCTGTGGCTCAAGTGGTAGAGCGCTAGCCTTGAGCTGAAGAGCTCAGGCCCAGAGTTCAAGAACCATGACCGAAGGAAGAAAGAAAAAAAGAGGAAGGAAGGAAGGAAAGCAGACATACATAGACCTGAGATAAAGGGCTAGCAATGGGCACATAAGAACATCCTGGTACATTAGCAGAGAGTACAGATCCCTGCAAGCACTATGCAGCTAAGACTGATGTGTGTATATATAGACAGAGCTCCTTCTCCCCCTCAGTCCCCAAACTACTAACTACAATTGGTAAGTTCTGGCATCAACTGTTTGAACTGTACCTTCTGGCCCAGAGCCCTGGAGCTTTTGGGTTTTCAGAACAAGGATTCAGATGTGGATCTCTTGTTGGGGGAGAAATCACTTTAAAAAATGGGGAAAGGAAGCTGGGCGCCAGTGGCTCACACCTATAATCCTAGCTACTCAGGAGGCTGAGATCTGAGGATCATGGTTCAAAGCCAGCCCAGGCAGGAAAGTCCATGAAACTCTTATCTCCAATAAACCACTAGAAAACCAGAAGTAGTGCTGTGGCTCAAGCAGTAGAGTGCTCACCTTGAGCTGAAGAGCTGAGGGACAGCGCCCAGGCCCAGAGTTCAAGCCCCACAACCGACAAAAAAAAAAAAAAAAAAAAGGGCGGGGGGAGAAAGGAATGAGGAGAACAAGCAAAGAATAGAAAATGTACACACACACACACACACACACACACACACACACGAGTTTGGGATCAGCAGCAATTTCCCTGACATTTCATAATTCCCTGGCTCCAAGCAAGAGAAGACAGAGACAGAAAGAAACAAAGTCGGAGTGTTTGTGCCTATGTATAAGCACACACCCAACAGAATAATGTGGTTTGAGAATAAGACATATTGCTCATAATAATGTATTTAGGGTAATGGGGGGCTGGGGAATGAAGAGTGGAAGTTTTCCTATTAAGCTGAAAAGAAAACCTAACTGCCAAGTGCCACACAGGCAAAAGACATCAGCATGACACTCCAGCGGAAACAGCAATAGATCCTGAGTTACAGAAACACCCCACTGATCCAATTTTACTTCTTGCCAATATCTGAACACTTTCCATTCTAGCACAAAATTGAGATGCTTACATAATTTTGAGGGTCAGAAAAAAATAATGAGACAAAAGAATGGAGCACCTGGTCTAGCATGGAAGGTTATCAATAAACCTTTGGGCTGGGGTTCACACCTTGCAAGCCCAGTACTCAGGAGGTTGGAATATTCAGGATGGCCAGTGAGATGCTAGCTTGGGGGGGGGGGGCCTGGGAAGGTGACTCAGTGGTAGAACGCTTGCCTTGCATGCATGAGGAGGTCCTAGGTTCCATTCCTCAGAGCCACATAAGCAGAAAAAGCTGCAAGTGGTGTTACGGCTCAAGTGGTAGAGCGCTAACCTTGAGCTGAAGAGCTGAGGGACAGCGCCCAGGCCTAGAGTTCAAGCCCCATGCCTTCTAGTCAAAGGCGTACTATAATGTTTTGTCAAAGGAGTGCTTCATTGTACAATGAACAAAAAAGTAATCAAACCATGTTTAGCGTTTGTGTCTAATCCAAGAGGTTGAAGCAGAGGAAAGGAAATAGTTTCCAGACAATCAAAACCAGAATTCCCCTGCTCCCCACTAACCACCAGGCACCCAGAGGAGTGTGAGTGTCCAGAGGGAATGAAGTGGCAAAGTTCCTCTCCCACAAAACAACCAAGCTAACCATTGCAGGGGGAGGACAGCTAAGCCATCTCAGAACCATAAAACATATAGTCAAGATTTTTTGGTTTGGTTTCTTGAGGTATGTCACCGGGGCTGATAGACTAGACTCCTGCTTGAGCCTCCCAAAGGGCTGGGATTACAGGTGTACACTACCATACCTGGTTTAGTCTTGTCCTTCAACATTTTTATATTTCCCACCCCCTCTGAACATTTCTACCATTAAGAAAGTCCTGAAGCTGTCAGATTGGCTGAGGACTCCACCGTGATAGTTTTTGCGTTTTTTTTATTAAATGGAATACCATTTATGTGTGTTGCTCACACTATTTGATATTCCCCCCCCATACACTTAATTTTTAAGTTCTTATTGCTTTCCCAACAAAACTAAATGAAATAGATTTCTGACAGGACCCCCTCCTTGCTTCTCAGACCCCCAACACTAGCCGATCCTTTTGTTTCCAGTGATGAAGCTACACTCACACACCATTATCACCCTGCAGCCATTCTGGCTATTCCTATTGGCTCCTTCCCCATCTACTAGCAGGTCATGAGCCATATGACAGGATGGGGAATTTGAGACATTTTTAAAGAGAATATCTTTCCCACCTAGAGGCAGAAAGACCCAATTTTTCATAGTACCAAAGAAGAAAAACACTCCACCACACATGTATGCACATATCCATGCTGAAAAAGACCTTTCAGTAAGTATAACAATGTAAGTTTATTTACAGTAAATGTATACTATATGGTAAGTGATGACCAAAGGTGTTTTTTTTTTAAAGGCATTGTCCTATTTAACATTCTAAAAACTCCAGGCCAGGTGTCTGTGGCTCGAACTTTCATCTGAAGGACTGTGGCTCAAAAATCAGGCTGAGAAGAAAGGTTCACTCATTTCCATCTCCAAAATAACCACCAAAAGCAGAGATGGAGGCATGACTCAAACAGGAGAGCTCGATAAAGCATGACACAAGGCCAGCGGACACAAGGGCTGAATTGAAGCCCTTGTTTACAGCCCCCTCAAAAATAAAATACAATGAAACTCCTAAAGATCTAAGGAATGTAATTACTACCACTAGTCAGAGAGACTGAGCAGGCTTTGTCTGCAATGGAGTGGTAACCCCAATGCTTGTTAGAAAACCAAAGTACTTTGAAAGCAGCAGACCTCCAACTCCCTCCTCTCACCCTGACAAAGCACTGCTCATTCTTCTTAGGACTTTAAAATGTATGGAATTGAACAATGAAAGAATAATTGTTCATTTGGGAAAATCTAGCCATGGCAGCCTCTACCAGTAGAAGTAAAGGCAGTCAGTGTCTGTGATCCTAGGATGTAGCCTGGCTCTGAGGTGATGTTCTAGGGGCATCAAAACATAGTTGGTTAAGGGCATTGTTTCTAGAGTCACACTGTTACATGGACTTCTCTCTTGGTTTGGCCACTAATGATGAGGTAGTCCATGGTGCAGGCTAACACACAGTAAGCTATCAGGAATGATATTCTAGTATTATTTTTTTATTTTATTTTGTCAGTCATGGGGCCTGAACTCTGGGGCTGGGCGCTGTCCCTCAGCTCTTCAGCTCAAGGCTAGCGCTCTCCCACTTGAGCCACAGCGCCTCTTCTGGCTTTTTCTGCTTATATGGTGCTGAGGAATCGAACCCAGGGCCTCACGCATGCAAGGCAAGCACTCTACCACTGAGCCACCTTCCCATATGTGTATGAAGGAGATACAGGTGTGTATAAATACGCATATCTGTCTCCAAGATAATAGGTATGAAGGAGTGTGAGGAGTAATAGAAAAGGGGAAGAATAAGGATAAGTGTAGACATGGTGACTGCTCAGTTTCCTGCCCTGGTCAAAGGTAAAACCCGCAGGATGCATGCAGAAAGAGCACGATGAAACCCTATGCACCCCTCTCTCTCCTAGCCTTCTCCCAACCAGGCTTCTCTATACTTACATATTTCCAGCCCAAAGTGGTTTTGCAGTTTTCACAGTAAATGTCTGCAACTGCATGCAGTCCTGTTAGCAACACCCGCTCTTCTGCAGGCCCACAGCCCACATTAACTCTATACCAAAAGACAGAGAAAGTGGGTGGTTAGTCACATGTACATACATTCCAGCAACAACTAACTGCCCCAGGGGAAGTCACTTCTGAGAGCCTGCTCTAAGACTAGCTGATCACATCCTCCAAAAGGTAACCACATGGAAATCCGTGAGGTGGAATGAATTCCAGATCTGAAAGATTTTAGATTCAATGGGTCTACCTGTGACTGAAGGGGACAAAATGACAGCATTGTGAGGTCACAGCCATGAGGACAGGTCCTCAAAGCTTACTGAGGACTTGCAAAGATGGTCAAACATGGGGGCAGGGCCTGGGAAGGTGGCTCAGTGGTAGAGTGCTTGCCTAGCACGCATGAAGCCCTGGGTTCGATTTCTCAGTACCACATACACAGAAAAAGCCAGAAGCAGTGCTGTGGCTCAAGGGGTAGAGTGCCATCTTTGAGCAAAAACCTGAGGGACAGGGTCCAGGCAGTGTTCAAGCCTCAAGACTGGCCCCCCCCAAAAAAAACAGAGAGAGGGTAGTGTTGTCCTTATCACATGGAGACTGAGCACTGAGCCTTAAATATCTAATGTCCTCCCCTCCTTCACTGAGCACCTGTCCCCAAGTTGAATGTGCTAGATTTCCAGTTTTATATTTCGCCAGGCTTATGTGAGTTTTACCTTCTTTTCCCTGGTGGGAGTTGGAAACCCCATGCCCAGGAATGGCTGCTGGCTGTATAAGGGCTGTCTGCAGGAAAGGCTCTACCTTGAGTCTTCCCTCCAGTCTTAGTTCAGTTATCTCAGTGGAATTCTTTTTTTTTTCCATCCTCACAAATCTCAGATCTAGTTATGAGAGTTCCAGGATGAAGCTTTCAGAAGCTCCTCAACTCCTTCCCAATGTGCCTAATAAAGGCACCATAGTGGATACGATTTTCAGAGATGCTACTCTTCCCCCCTCCCCAGAAAAAAAAAATGTTCCCCAAGGTAACTGAGGACCAGTTGTGGAGAAAACTGCTCCACAGTTCTTTATTAGGCAGAAAAGGCAGGCTCCATTGCCACAGCCAAGGTTGCTCTCCTCCAGCCCTCAAAATGTACACCAAATAATAGATACACTGTAGACACTCACACTGAGTTAAAGAGGTATGCACGTCCTTGACTTCCTTGGAATGACTGAAATGTAAGAAAACAAATGGATAGTTAGAGATCCCTTCCCCCTACCCATTTTAGAAATCAACCCCAAACTGGAACAAGCATGACCTTCAAGTACACAGAGTATACAACAGCAGTATGCCAGCAGCAGTCTAGCTGGCCGGTGGCATGGGGAGAGAAGGAAGAATAAGAAGAGCAACAGCCCAAACTTGGAACTATGTCCATCAGCTCAGGTGAGAACATGGGGGGGGGCGGGGCATGGGGGGGGTGGTAAACAAGAAACTAGCCAGGTGTGCTCACCTGTAATTCCATTACTGAGACGGTGAGTTCAAGGTAAACTGTGACTTGTCTTAAAAAGCAAATAAATAGGGCTGGGAAGGTGACTCAGCGGTAGAGTGCTTGCCTCACATGTATGAAGCCCTGAGTTCAATTCCTCAGCACCACATAAGCAGAAAAAGCTGGAAGTGGTGCTGTGGCTCAAGTGATAGGGTGCTAGCCTCGAGCTGAAGAGCTGAAGGACAGCACTCAGGCCCAGAGTTCAAGCCCCACAACTAACAAAAAGCAAATAAATAGGGCTGGGAATATGACTTAGTGGTAGAGCGTTTGCCTCGCATGCATGAAGCCCTTGGTTCAATTCCTCAGTACCACATAAACAGAAAAACTAGAAGTAGTGTCTGTAGCTCAAATGGTAGAGTGCTAGCCTTGAGCAAAAAGGACAGTGCCCAGGAACTGAGTTCAAGCCCCAGGACTGGCAAAAAAATAAAATAAAATAATAAAAAAGCAAATAAATAATAGGACTAGGCTTCAGTGGCTCACACCTGTAATACTTGCTACTCAGGAGGCTGGGATGTGAAGATCATAGTTCAAAGCCAGCCCAGGCAGAAGCATCTGTGAGATTCTTATCACCAATTAAGTGGAGGCATGGCTAAAACAATAGGGTGCCAGCCATGAGCACCTGAGTTCAAATACATAAAACTCCATTACGCCGTTAAGAACTTCTCCCTTTCTAACATTACCTGAGATCATTTTTCCCATTAGCTTTTCCTGGTCCCACTTGATCTGAACTATCTGTACTGGCCAGGACTTGCCGACATTGCTGCTACTCATTTTCCATATTCCAGCCACTCTTGCTTATCCTCTTGGTCCATCCCTATCAAAGGCAGGAAAGAGTGCCAGGCAAAAGAAATCACCCTTATCTAGATTCCTCATAGATCCTAAATGCCACAGAGGCAGTTAAAATCCTCCTCAATGGGGTCATGAGAGTTCAACTTGTTAGGCATAATAAGCAACTTGATCTCCACATCACAGAGAAACAAGCTCATTTAAACCACTAACTTACTTACTAGCTTCCCCCTGGCTGCAGGGAACAGGCCAACCAGAGCCAACACTTGCCAGACAATCTGGTATCTACTCCCATTAACACAGGCTCTCTTCATGTCGCCCTCCTCTGGTTACACCAGCCATGTTGCACACTGCTGTCTGCATTTTTAAAATGGTTTGACAATGCATTCTGAACTTAACAGCTTAATCTGCTTGGAAAAGCATGGTTAACAGACGGCTATACACAGGACAGTCAATTTGAGATGGATGCTACATGCTACACAGGCAGACAAAATTCTGCTGGGTTTTGCCTCCAAAATCCCAGTACTGACAATACATACATACATACATACGTACATATGAACACTAGAAGGGCACTTTTTTTTTGTAGAAAAACTCCCCTAGGAGCTGCTGCCTTTTGGCTGCCTCCAAATGCACCCCAGTGCCTTTGTACCCAAGTGCAGCTGCAAGAAAGAAGGAAGCAGACATTCCCTAGCTGCTGCCCAGAACTAAACAAACTCTCCTTTTCTGGGCCCTGAAGCATCCCAAAGAAAATGCCCTTGAAATCTTCCAGGCACCACAGAACAGCTCTGAGCATGTCTCAGAACTTGCCAACTGCTTAGATGAGGAAGTGCCCCAGTGACACAGGCCCAGATTTGACAGTTGCTCAACATTGGGCCATAAAGATACCTCAGGGCTTTTAGACAGCAAAAATTGCACCATGTGGCCATTCCCATTTTCTGCCAGCCTGCTCTCTTGCTGCTTCCCCATTGGGCCCTTTGCTCTAGTCAAAACAGACCAAGTGCAATACTGCTTTTCACCAACTCTGCCCTCCCATGCCTACTGCCAGGGAGGTGTTTCCAGGGGACCAATTCAGAACCTCAGATAATCTCCCCTTTGTAAGCCTTTCTCTAGCTTCCTTAGGAAGAAGTACCACTGACACCCATGTGGAGACTCCTCCTGTTCTTTGTTTTCCTTTTTTCTTAGCATCCTAGACTGAAATCATCCATTTATCTATTTCCCTTACTGTGAGCCCTCTGAAGCTCACAGGCCATGGGCCATGCCTTCGATCTTTCTCCGAACCCCCACAATCTGGCACACGGTTGGCATTTATTAAATGCTTATTCCATGCATGAACTATCTTTCCTTTCTTTTTTCTTTATTGAGACATACGTGACATAGCTATCTATCTGGTTGATCTAGCACACTTAAGTGTTTGCTCCTGCCCTCCTGAAACAACCTTCCTCCTACCCCATTCTCACCCTGCTTTCTATCCCTCATCTTAGTTCTAGGACTTTTTGCAAATGAAATCATATAATATGTGAGGTTTTCATCGAGCTTCTTCTATTCAATGTATTTCTTTTGGTACTCATCCATATTGGCCTATAATTCAATGGTTCGTTTTCTTTTATTGTGAAGTAGGATTCCATTCTATGGGCAAACCACATTTCAGTTATTTTCAGTGTGATCTGGACCCTTCCCGATAATCAGCTGTGTCACTCTCTAAGAAACATTTGCCAAGACCTTCAAGTTCAGAACTCAGGAACAGGTGAACATGGGAAAATCAATCCTAGAGCAATAAGCCAAACAGCTGTATGATTTACCACAGGAAAAAGCTTGGAAGGGTGAATTAACGTATTTCACACAATGATTGGGAATTCAAGGAGAGACAATGTTCTAAGACTTTCCAGTCTCTCTGAAAGGTTTGCTAAACCCCTCCAGGGTAGAGAAAATACTAGAAATTGTATCCATTTGTATCTAAAAAGTTAAGTTTCATCAAGGCAAAGTAGTTCATACATACAAATCCTAGCTATTCAGGAGCTGGGGCAAAAAAAAATGTTGAGGCTCCAGCTCAACAGAAGAAACTAGGTACTGTGGCATGTATCTACCAACTCAGCTACATTTGGAAGCTTAAAATGGGTTGGTTGTAAGATATGGATTCAAATTTTTTTTTCTTTCATGCGATTGTTTCTAACACATTTATAAGATTATTTCTTTGTTGCTTTGTATGTCCCTCCCACAGTATATAACCCCTGCTTTCACTGTATTTGATGTTGGTATAATTTGTGGAGGGGAAGGGGAAAAACAAATCTTTTATAATAGGGATACAGGTGAACCCATTGCAACAATGAGATGTACAAGTCGTTATGTCCAAAACGAACTTTACAACTTTGGGGGGGGGGAGGATTCGGTGGGGGGGGAGGATGGGAAGGGGAAACAAAGGGGGAGGCTTCAATGCTTGATAAGAAATGTACTCATTATCTTGCCCATGTAATTGTAACCCCTCTGTACAGTATTTTCACAATTTAAAAAAAATGGGTTGGTTGTAGTCTAGGTAGATGCCCAGGCAAAAAGTGAGACCTAATTTCAAAATAACCAGTAACATAGTGTGGCTTAACATCATCAGAGCACCTCCCTGGAGAAAAGTACCAAAGGTGAGCAGTCTATGGCTCATACTGCATGGGGTAACAATAGGAATCTGTCCTCTTTGCTAAAAGCACATCAAAAAATAAAAGTGCTATATGATGCCAATAATAGAGCTGATATGATGTAAAAAAGAAAAAAGCCAAGATCTTTTTGTTGCTTGTTTTGTGGCAGGATCTCAATAAGTAACTCAAGTTTGCCATCTTCCTGCCTTAATTGCCCTGAATTATGAGTATTACAGAATATGCCATCATGCCCAGCTACAAATAAACCCCCTCAACAGCAGGGCCATTCCCAACTTTTAAGACTGAACTAAGTGCCATAAAGAGCTTTAACTAAACCTGAAGCTCATTCTATGAAGCAAACTGGCATCTGGCAATATTTTTATTATTTATGCTTTAGTATCATTATGTCAAATAATTACTTACACAACAAAGAAGATCATCTATCCTCTTTTAGTAAATTAAGATTAAAGCCAGGTGTCTGTGACTCATAGCTATAAACCTAGCTACTCAGGAGCCTGAGATCTGAGGATCACTGTTCAAAGCCAGTCCAGGTAAGAAAGTCTGTGGGACTCATCTCCAATTAACCACCAGAAAGCCAGAAATGGAGCTGTGTGGTTCAAATGGTAGTAACCTTGAGCCAAAAAGCTCAGGGACAGTACCCAGGCCCTGAGTTCAAGCACCAGGCTCAGCACCAAAAAAAATTTTTTTTAATTATTTTTCTCACATCCTTCCTATGTCTAACATGTACACATTACATAGCAGTGCATGTATGTATTCTATTAGGAAATAACTGCTATTGGAGCCTACCGTTTGGGCTGGGAATGTGGCTTAGTGGTAGAGTGCTTGCCTAGCTTGCATGAAGCCCTGGGTTCAATTCCTCAGAAGTGGCACTGTGGTTTAAGTGCTAGCCTTGAGCAAAAAAGAAGCTCAGGGACAGTGCCCAGGCCCTGAGTTCAAGCTCCAGGACTGGCAGAAAAAAGCCAATTGGCTTAGAGCTTAGGGTTAAACATTTATTGATAGGCCTTTGCTCTGGATGTTCCAGTTTGCTTTGTTTATCTAGCCTGACATAGGTTAGAAGTCTTAGAGAGAGCCCAGAGTGAAGGAGAGGAGGGCATATGGCAGAGAAGAGAATCTGGCCAGGCCCAGAGGTGGTTCACAGACAGGCCAGTACAGTTCTTTCTTTCTCTGGATCTGGTCTGTGAGAATATCCTGGCAAAGGCCCACACTCTGCAATGGAGACTGGGCCCAAGCTGGGCTGTCTGGTGGCAGCAC